ATGTGTTTGCGCGAATAAGTCAATGACCCCTCCATCTTTTTCTAAAGAGTACCATCAAGGGGTTCACTTAGCACTAGTTCATCCAATGTTTACTTTCTAAAACTTATTTTTATATCAAAAGGTCTTTTATTATTCTCTCCATGTTGATTGATACAAGCTTGAGTTTATCTTCTATTGCTCAGTCTGTTGCCACATGTTTCCATTTCCAGTTGTGTTATGTGGTAAAACTAGTCTTCAATTGTTTATAGCAATGATCATATACATACATGTGTATGAGATAAGGCAGACCTAACTGTGTATGTGAGATATTTAAAGTTTAAACTTCAATCATTATAGGTGGTGTTGAGTCAAATTTTTTACTTCATCCTTTCTTGTGAAAGCTTAGGCAAGACGCAATATCTTAGTCATTTTATTGATCAATTTTTTTTATTATATTACACTATTACGAGCATTATTAAAGTTATCAATATCATCTTTCATCTAGTTTATGGATTGTGAATAGGCATTTATAAATTTCAAAGTGCTATTGACAACACTTATAATTTGGTGTATCCTGACTATACTCAACTTTTCATTTTCTACATGAATTTTTTTTATATTAGTCTTAAAAGTGTGTTAATGCAAAAGAGTTTGAGTGTGCTTAGTCAACACTATCCTATTGCATACATCAACTACATATTACAATCAATAGAGATGAACTATTCCACAATAGATAAAGAGTGTTTAGCAACAGTTTGGGGTTTTGAGAAGCTTCATACATATTTGTATTGTTTTTGAACATTACTAATAGGTGACTATTCTATAATTACTTTGTTATTGAAGTGGAAGAATTTAGTTGGTTGTACTGCTCAATATGCTCTAAAATTTTAAATATATGATTTTGAGGTTGCTCACTGTCTTAGAAGTTTTATCGCTAATGCTAATGCCCCTTCTCAAGCTCCTTTCCCTTCTTCACTCTCTTCTCTTGTTCTTGACAAACTTGCTATTTCAGCATCAATGAATTTTTTTAATGAGGATTCTGTGCCATTGGTAGTTATTACATATGATATTTAGTATCCACAAAGTGTAAAGCAAAATTTACCTTTTCTTAACAAAGTTCATGAAGCTTAAAAAGTTGAGCTGTGGATCTAAAGACTTTAAAAATCTTGCATCACTGTAAGCAACCAAAAAGAACGACTTGAGAGATGATCCATGGGGTTCAAATATAGAGGGAAAAGGGCCCATGAACAAGAGTGCACCCTTTTTTCCAATCGATTAAAGGTCTTGGGATACTTGGGGTTAAGTGTCCTTGGGTTTGAATAGTACTGGGTTGGGTGACCTCCCGGGAAGTCCAAACTCAGGAACTTACAATCACTTGTTGATGACTTATCATTTTAGACAACCTTCTTTATTTTGTTAGGATTGATCTTGATGATCATTTACATATGGTGGTGCCTTTGATATTTATTTCATACCTTCTCCATACTTATTATGACTCTCCTATTTTATAGGGGTATAAAGGACATTAGTATATTATTGAGAAACTTTATATAGGTCAGAAAAGTAATATGATGTTATCTCGTATATATATAATTGTGTTTGGTGCCAAGCTCATAATACTCCCCTTTGTGCTGTAGAAGGATAGTTGGAGTTGATTGCAATTTCCCACTTATTTGAGTTAGTGGCATTTGATATGATAGGGCTTTTTCCATAGTTAATTGTTAGCAATGAGTACATTATTATTACCTCTGACTACTTGACTCACTAGATGGAAGTTGATATTCTTGCTAGTGCATCAATGATTGTTGTTGGATACCTCCTCCTCAATTGAGTGATGTTCCAACATTTTATTCTGAGTAAATTTTTTCAAATAATAGTTCTATATTTATGATTGAGGCATTTCATATTTGGGGATATGCCACATTTTCATGAGTGCTTATTATCCACAGATAAATGGTTTGGTGGAACAACTTGTTTAATCTTTAAAGGAACTTTCAACATTCAGATTAGGATGGTTATTTGTTATCTCTTTGTTTTGTATAAAGTTTCATTAATGCTTCACTATAAAAACTTCTATATAAGCATGATTCAATATTACCAATACAGTTGAGCTTACTTTCATAATTGCCAAGAGTTGCCAATGTTAGGTCTTAGGATCATCCCCCACATATGCATGTATATGGCCATTGCCATAAAGAATGAAGACTGAGTCTGCCAGACGATGTAACTATACATGGCAACATATAGTAACAAACTGAGTAATAGAAAATAAACTTGGTATATGACCCTATCTTTGACCTTGATGTAAGCTCTTGAGTTTGGACTTTCCGGGAGGTCACTCAGCCCAGTACTATTCAAACCCAAGGACGATTAACCCCAAATATCCCAAGACCCTTAACCGATTGAAAAAGGGGATGCACTTTTATTCATGAGCCCTTTCCCTCTATATTTGAACCCTATGAACCATTTCTCAAATCGTTCCCTTTGGTTGTTTACAATCCACCACGCTTCCCTGTAAGTTCACGCCCTCGTGAACGGAAGCTGAGAGCCGTAGCCCGACCCGAGACCGCTCCGATACCAAATGTAAGCTCTTGAGTTTGGACTTCCCGGGATGAATGGAAGCTGAGAGCCATAGCTCTCCCGAGAGCCCCGCTCTCTTGGCACCCTACCCCTCGGGTCGAGCCCAGCGGGAGCGAACTGGACCAACCAGATGTCAATCAACATGTGGTGTGATTCCCTTAGCCAACCAAGGGAGTCGGACTCGAGATCGCTCCGATACCAAATGTAAGCTCTTGAGTTTCCGAGACCGCTCCGATACCAAATGTAAGCTCTTGAGTTTGGACTTCCCGAGAGGTCACCCAGCCCAGTATTATTCAAACCCGAGACCGCTCCGATACCAAATGTAAGCTCTTGAGTTTGGACTTCCCGGGAGGTCACCTAGCCCAGTACTATTCAAACCCAAGGACGATTAACCCCAAGACCCTTAACTGATTGGAAAGGACTCTTATTCATGAGCCCTTTCCCTCTATATTTGAACCCCATGGACCGTCTCTCAAATCGTTCCCTTTAGTTACTTACACTTGAATATGGGTAACAACAATGTTAACTTTCATTGGAACAAAATCATCACCCATGTAAAGTGGAGTTGAAGTATATATAATGACAAATGTATTTGGCTCTATATAAAGCAAGAGGCTTCGAAAGTGAACACTAAATTGCATCACTAATTTAAACAACTCTTATAGAAACAATGCAATTGTTGAAAGACATATCACAATCATCAATATGTCTAAATGCACATTTGAAGATATTTGGGAGAATGTTTCAATTTGCATAAATAGTTGCACTCAAACCATTGTACCACTACAATGTCGTCCTTTAGAGATACATGAGAAGCTTGTGTAGACACTAAACATTATCCCAAAAATAATAAATAGCAATCATAGTAAAGTGATTAAACCAATGGTATACATTATTCCTAAGATTTCCATAAAAGAACTTTAATCGAATAAAGGATTGGCACAAAAGCAGAAGGAGCTATACCATGTGATGTGAATATTACTATCAACTAAATTTAATTGTTCAATTGTAATCAAATAATATCAAGCAATTGCACTAATTGCTTCTCTCGAGTTAACAAATGAGAAAGTTGCTACTTTGTGATGAAGATGAATGAAAATAAGAAAAATAAAAATGAAAAAGATTAAAAAGATATAGGAAAAATGAGATTTAAATAATGCAAAAGCTATATCTAAATCAAAAGTATAAATCCAAGCACTTCTTAGATCTCCACTGATGTAAAATATAAAAATGAAATACAGAAATATACATTTTTAGTTAGTCTAAAAACTTAATTTATATATATGATTAAATTGAAACCAATCCAATGGCTATCAAAATCCCACTATATTAATATTAATATATAACATTGTAGTTGTGCACTTAGATTTGACAATACTAATAAAACTTTACTAAAGATTTTTCAATTATAAAATATATTTTTAAAAATTATTATATTTTAAATAAAATTTACACTATAGAGGTGTTATCTCATATAAAGAAATTAACTATTGGTGAACTTTAGATGAAGTGTTTATAATGTTTTAAAAGAGTATTAACAAAGAAAAAATTAAAGACTTCACAAATGTTAGTTGAGAAAATTTTACTTTGTCAATAAATCATTAGTTAAAATAAAAATTTTAGTCTTTTATACTTATTTTTGTTTAAAATTTCCAAAGAAATTTTAAAGTTTTATATAATATGGTTAAATATATAAGCATATAAACATAAATGAGTTAAATTTATTAGCTTTTAGTTCAAACACATCATTTGAGCATCTATAATCTGTATTGTCCATTTCTAACATTGAGAAAAAAAAAATCTTTCACTAATGCTTTTACTATTAAAAACATTTAATAAAATATTGAATTAACTAATTAAAAATTAATTAAAATTGCAGATTGTGAAAGTTATATTATTCTTTTCCTTTTTCTTTTTTAATAAAAGTATTGATATATATATAGTTCATAGTTAAATAAAGACTTTAAAGTAACATATTTAATTTTTTTATTTATTTTTATATTTGCTTTATTCAAGAAAGAGTTTTATTCAAGAAAGAATAGTAAAGATAACACAAATTGTATAAAAATTACTATTTATTATGCTTGAAAAAATCTAAATGATATATAATATAGGAACATTAATCCCTTACAAAAATAATATTAAAAAATCCTTTCATGTTTAGATTTCCTATTCAATATATATATTTAATTAGTGCTAGATTATGGGAAACCAATCTTAATAATTTTATCAGCTACACTACAAATGTAATTTCTTGTTTCTTATGAATTGATATATATTTTATTTTATTATTGCATTAGTCAACGTTTAAGATTAACTTCACAAACTAAAGTACATTAGTGTTTTGCGAATATTAAAATCACGGCAAAAGAAATAATTAAAGTGGCTACAAAATGAAATGTACATTACTTTCCAAATAGATATGGTTGTGCTAACTAGGCTTAGGGTTTCCAATGGGGGGTGCACAATCGATCCATGCCCGACGGGAAGCCGATCTTCAGATCGCCAGGGGCAGCGAGGAAATCAGCGCTCCAGCTGCCGAATCCATCACTCTTTGCTCGGTTGCCCCGGAATCTGGTAGCTCTAGTGAGAGATTTTTTTGGCTAGAAGAAGCCACAGATCTCACCACTCGCCTCACCGACGATTGCCTGGAGCTGGTGCTCGAGAAGCTGCCGCTCAAGGATCGCAGGAGCTGCTCGCTGGTTTGCCAGAGATGGTTTAGGGCAGAGGCGCAGTCGCGGCAGCTCCTTCTCCTCTCGGCTAACGCCAATCTCTCGCCCAATCTCCCAGATCTGCTCCACCGCTTCAAGCACATCACCAAGCTCGCCCTGAGATGCGATCGAAGCTCGGCCAGCATCGACGATGGCGGATTGCTGCTGGTGGGGAGATACGCGCCCCAGCTGGAGAGGCTCAAGCTCAAGGGCTGCAAGCAAATCACCGACCAGGGGCTGGAGGATTTCTCCAAGCTCTGCCCGTCGCTGCGCAAGCTCTCGTGCGGCTCTTGCGGATTTGGGGCTCGCGGGCTCGACGCCATCCTCGCCAACTGCGAGCTTCTCAAGGATCTCTCGGTGAAGAGGCTCAAGAATCTCTTCCAGGAGCCCGACGCATCCGTGCGCGCCGGCGCTGGCAAGCTCCGCCGCCTCTGCCTCAAGGATCTCGCCAACGCCCACGTCTTCCAGCCGCTCATCGCCGGATCCACGCAGCTCCACAGCCTCGTCCTCGCCAGGCTCTCGGGCGACTGGGACGAGCTCCTGGCCGCCATTCCTCGCCGCCTCACGGAGCTGCGGATGGAGAAGATCCACGTAGGTGACGCTGGCCTGGCCGCCATCTCCGCGGCATGCAAAGCTCTCGAGGTTCTCTACGTGGTCAAGTGTCCCCAGTGCACTAACGCGGGGCTCTCGGCGCTGGCTCACGGCTGCCGGAGCCTCCGCAAGCTCCATCTCGATGGCTGCTTCGTGGGCCGGATTGGCGACGAGGGGCTGGCGGCGATCGGGCAGCGGTGCCCCGAGCTCCAGGAGCTGGTGTTGATCCGGCTCAACGTGAGATCCGCCAGCCTCGCGCTCGGGCTGGAGCGCCTGGCGATTTGCAACAGCGAGAGCTTTGGCGACGCGGAGCTGTCGTGCGCGGTGCTTCGCTGCCGCGAGCTCAAGAAGCTGTGCATCAAGAGCTGCCCGATCTCCGACGTGGGGCTCGAGGCCATCGCCGCCGGATGCCCGAGTCTCGTCAAGGTGAAGATCAAGAAGTGCCGCAGGGTGTCGGCTCCCGGGGCTTCGATGCTCCAGAGCGCCCGCGAGGCGGTGGTGGTGGTGGTGGACTCGCCGGTGGCGGTGGCGGCGGGCATGGATTTGGAGAGGAGGCGAGGAGGTCCTCCAGCGCTGGCTGCTCGAGGTCCTGCTACATCGTCTCATGCCAAGACGAGGTTCTCGTTTCTTACTGGTCCCAGTAACTTTGTGGCTTGCACGCTGAGGAGGATGGCCGCTCCCAGCTAGATCCAATACTAAAATTCTTTGCTTGACATTGTAGTTGTTTCTCTGCACGTACTCTTGGATCCGGATTCCTTCATCGTCATCGCAAGACCTGTTCGTTTGATCGCAGTTAGCCACGCAATGGCTTCATGAGAAAATCTCTTCAAACCTGTTTGATGGATTGGAAATCTCTGTTTCTGTTTTAATACTATTCAGCTCTCTCTTCTTCTTCTTCTCCGTGATCCGCAAGTATCAAGAGTGATAAGTGATTGCTTCTTGTAAGTTAACACGATATTCCTGGATCGATCAAGCTTCTTCCCTCTCTGCACAGCTAGAACATGCCTTAACCGTTACACGATCCGGCTCACAACCTTCTTCTTGCATGCGTGTGAAGAACGCCATGCGTAGCCCGAGATTATGGAAGTCCACGAAACGACATCCCAGTTATCCAACAAGGGCGCCCTCACTTCCTAGATACTGCATTTTCTTACTCTTTCTCCGATGCTTCATGGACTCTGGAGGTCTCGCAAGTTTGTCAATGCGGCAAACACACAACGCGTCATAAATCGACGAAACTCCTTTGGGCCCGTTCTTGAACTTTCCACTTTCCACCTAGGTTTTTAAAAAGATATTTATTTGGTGGGTTTTTACCAACTTTAGGTTAATTATTGAGTATAAAAAGATAGTACAGGCAAACGAGAAACGGAGTTGGAGTCTGCAACATATTTGTGCTAAGCGAGGTGCGTGAGCCATGAGTGGCAACGAACAGTCGATAATCCCAGCTTCCGCAAACAGTACGTGCGCTCCCACCACTGCATGCCTCACCTCTGCCTCCGTGTCAAGCGACCTCAACTCCTCCCCGGTGAGAGTTCCTTTGCCACCAGTGACCGGCAATGGAACACGCCTGGTGGTGTACAGCCGTGAGAGGGATCGATCAACGCGAGAGTTCTATGCCGCTAGCTTCGACAGGCGTTTGCTCTTGATATACAGCTACGACTCGGCTTGGGGCGAGTGGTTTAGGTGCAAAGAATGCCCAGATAAAGAAGGATGGTGTAGGATGGACAGAAAAGCCTTCTATCCGGTGCTGGATCACGGTCAGGTGGTGGTGCTTTGCACGAGGCCCTCAAGGATTGCTACATACAACCTTTGGTTCCTGGCAAATTTTTTGGGTTGATGGCAGCAAGCTGGCGAAAGCTTGTAACTGGTGCTACCTTCAGCTGGGTCCGGACCGGCTTCTGCTGGTGACCGAAAATTTTGAGAGACTGATCGTCGCTGAGAGGCAAGGAGATTGTGTCATATGCTGGCGAGGAGTTTCATGACGCTGGTGAGGAGTTTAATGATCTGTGAAGCGCTGGCGAGGAGTGTCATGATGCTGGTGAGGCGTTTAATGATCTGTCAAGCGCTGGCGACGAGTTTCATGATCTGTCAAGCACTGACGAGGAGTTTCATGATCCGTTGGTGCGGGATAACTTAACATGCACTGATGGGAAGAACAGTATATGGCTGGTGTCCAAGTCGTGTATTGTGCGCTATGGAGTCGATTCCAAGAGCTGGTCAGAGGTGGATGCGCCCGATGCTTTGAGGGAAGCTCGAGGACTACCAGAGCTTGCTTGGTTCTCTTGTTAATAAGCTTGTTTTTTTTTTTTATGTTGATCTTCACTGCTTTTCCATCCAGAGTTTTTTCCATCTCTAAGAAGATAGAGCACGCCTGAAACCAACTATTATTGCCACCACGCATGTTTGACGGAATATAGCGATGTAACTATTCCGCCCCTATCTCTCGCCCAATCTTCCAGATCTCACCAAGCTCATGAAGCGGAGGTATACTTGGGAGCTCAAGATGGATGGGTGGCAGGGATTTGAGGATTCAGATACGGGCATTAACGGTCAAGGCGCGATGGATCAAGGAGTTAAGAGGAGTGACTGCGTAGCTAGTACTTAACCTGTTTGAATTTGTGAGGTTAGGCAGCTAAATACGCAGTTTGCTTCTTCGCAAAATGCGGCACAGAGGGGATTGGTCTCCCGGACTCCGAAGCTGGAGCAAGCTTTCAAAAAGTTCCCGCCTCTGGAGCACAGCCTGTGACGTCTGTCTGTAGAGTTCCAAAGACACGGCGCCTTCCCCACGCTCTGGAGGCTCGCGGATCACTCACGGCCACATAGCGGTGGCCTTGCGCATGCTGGACGAGCGATGCGACGAGCCCACTTTCACGCAGACTCTCCGCGTAGAGATCGATCAGAGAGTTTGCCAGTGCAAGGTCCAGCGTTCCAGCTTAAGAATGGATGCGCGCTCCTCTTTCGAGACACTTGTGCCTGAACCTTACGAGCTTTTCTTTCTCAGCAGTTCCCAGTGCTTCTTTTGATGCCCCTGCCACCGTCAAGGTAGAGCAAGTTCTTAAAGTTGCCAGTCACACGATCCGCCACACACCCTGCCGATTACAAGAGCAAACTCCTCTTCCCCAGTCTGTGATGCAACGCATCCTCCATGCTTCCACACTCTGCGTACATATGCAGCAGCAGAGACACGCTGTTTGAACATTAGTAATTCGCTCGCTGGGCAAGACTCGCTCACCTGTCTGGAGGTCTCGCGAGTTTCTGCACGCTATCAACAATGCAGCAAGCACAATACCGACGCCCGGAATCGCTGCGCCTGCTGCAACGCCGACGAAATTCCTGGAATTTGAAAGAAAACGAGATTGAAAACCCTGTACTAGAGCGAAATTTCTTACCTCGATGACGCCAGTGGGAGCGCGATAACTGCCGATGCCCGCCGCGATCGATTGGATCGCCCGCATTCTCGATTCGATCTAATAGCATTTCAAATAAGCCCGCTCTTTTTCTTCCACCTTTTATCGTCAATAAAGGGCATAGCAGCCATGCACACATGATGTCGCAAAGGATTGCCAGCGGCGAATTCTTGGAGCTTGTCTTCTTCAGGCTATCTGCAATCGATCTGTGCCACGTGAGCTGTATGTGCCGTGAGTGGCAATGATCAGGAATTCGGGAATTTTCTACCGTGGAGCTTGGAGGCTGGATGGATGAGAAGGGTACACTCGCTCCTCCATGTCGCCTCTGGTTCTCTCTTTGTCAAGCCAGTCGAGAATTCCCCGCGTAACAAGTGGCACCACTTCCAGACGCTCCCAAAGGGCATGATGATCGCCAGCAGCGACGCCGGCTTGCTGTGCCTGGCCACGTTTGAGTACTTCAAGCGGCCATCCTCATCTCAACTCCTCCCCGGTGAGAGTTCCTTTGCCGCCAGTGACCAACAATAGAATGCGCATGGTGGTGTACAACAGCGAGAGGGATCGATTAACGCGAGAGTTCTGCATCGCTGCTAACTTCAACGCGCCTTCCCTCTCATATATCAATGAGAAGGCCTTTTATACGATGCGGGATCATGGTGAAGTGGTGGTGTTTTGCACAGGTCCCCAGAAGATTGCAAAATACAACCTGTGGGATGGTTCCTGGCAAGATTTTCAGGTTGATGCCAAGAAGCTGGATCTGGTATTTTATAGGTGGTGCTACCTTCAGCTGGATCAGGACCGGCTTTTGTTGGTAATTGAAAACTTTAGTGAGGGACTGATCATCTCTGAGAGGAGGGGAGAGAAGTGGGAGGTCATGTCATACTGTTACAAGGAGTCTGGATGTAGGTTGAAGATGAAACACCTTCAACAACAGCTGGAGGATTTCAAATCTTCAAAACTTATGGCTCACTATGGATGACTTTTGGATGAAGCTTGTGTTGCTGAAGTCAAAACTGAGCTTTGCAACAATGCCATGGTAACTAACTCTTTTGTGATTGATTTTGGAGCTACTACTCACCTATCTTGGCACAAAGATCATTTTGTCAAGTATAGAAATTGTCTTGGCCAGCATGCTGTGCAACTAGGAGACAATAGTGAGCATGGTGCTCATGGCATTGGTGACATCAACATCCAGACATCTCATGGCAACTTAACTCTGACTAGGGTAATATATGTTCCTACTCTTTGCAAAGATTTGCTATCTATTACTAAGATTGCTGATATGGGGTGTTTTGATCATTAAGTTTATGTCATTCAAAATGCACAAACTCATGATGTGGTTGCTATAGCTCCTAGGGAAGAAAATTCATAACTAGCTCTTTGATTCTTGCCTCTATTGGTAAAGGCACATGTGATCTATGGCATAAGCAATTTGGCCATTGCTCATTGTCTAAGATTTCCACGGTAAATAGTTTGGATGTATCTAATGAGCTAACTCTTGCTCCATGTGAAGCATATGCATTTGGAAGGCACCATCGTCAGCATTTTAAAATGATTGGAAGTTGAGCAAGCAATTTGTTTGAGCTTGTCCATGCTGATGTTTGTGGTCCAGTACAAGTTCCATCTTTCAAGAAGGCTAAGTATTTCCTGACTTTCATAGATGATCTTAGTCGCAAGACTTAGGTTTATTTTCTAAAGAAGAAATCTAAGATCTTGGATTTTTTTGTAGATTGGAAAGCCTTGGTAGAAAACCAAACTAGTTGTCAAATCAAGAAGCTACGCATGGACAATGGCAGTGAATTTGTGAACAATGCTTTTAATAGCATTTGTTCCCAACCTGGAATCCAACATTAGCTCACCAAACCATACATAGCTTAGCATAATGGGGTGGCAGAGTGCAAGAATCACACCATTGTGGACACAACACAATGCCTTCTAGCTCAATCTCATGCTCCCTAAAAGTTTTGGGTAGAGGCAGTTAGGTATGCTATTTCTCTTTAACCATCAACCTACTGTGGCAGTTAAGGAGATAACTCCGGAAGAATGCTTTACGCATAGCAAGCTTGACGTGGCACATGTACGGATTTTTGGATGCATGGCATATTAGCATGTTCCATAAGAGCTATGCACCAAGTTTGGTCCGATTGGGGAAAAGCTCATGTTTGTTGGTATATCTGATTCTAGTTCTCATGCTTACAGATTGATGGATCCTGTGATAGCCACGGTTCACATTTGTAGGCAAGAAGAAGTGATATTTTTTGAGGAAACCCTTTTTTTTCTCTCAATCCTTTTCTATTCTTGATCTTGATTTTGTGAATTTTCTAAATTCTTCGTTTTGGAATGATGCTATTCTTGATGCTAAGTTTTGGGATGATGCTCAACACGAAGAAGCACTTGCATAGGGAGGAATTGATGCAATCATCAAAGTCCTAGCTTAACTTTCTCCTCCAAGATCTGACATTATTTTGACTTTGATGGCATCTCCAGCATT